TTATTATTCCAAATAGCTGGTATTTTTGATGTTAATTGAGCGTTTTGCACGCTCTTACTGAATAAGTAGCCGGTAATATATTATATTTTGTGATGTAATAATTGATGAATTATTTTTGATTCGTYATCAGTTTTTGTATATATTTTTTTTTTATTGAGTGTCATTTGACATATCATTATGGTTTAATGAAAATACGGTTGACCTAATTGCACGAAATCTACTATCCTGAAGCCATACGTTGATTTAGCAATTTTAAAATAAATTAGTGTTCGTGGCTTGCAATTTTGTTTGGCTTTGATTACCCTATAAAGTTTCTTAAAGACCTAATATAAATGCTCGAACTTGTGTAGCGTTTGATAATAGTTAGAGCCGAGAGGTGATCTGCACGAATTTCTATGGAATAGATAATAATCTATGAAGCTTAACGAACCGAGTATTGTTTACATAACTATCCACTATGGCAGGATGTCCAATTGTATTTTCCTACAAGTCTGTCCATAAATTATAATAAACACGTGTGAATCGACCAGTGTGATATAGAGTRTGGTTTATAGCTTACGAGAAAATTAATAACKTGTTCGATTTGTTTTTACTAGTTTAACAGATTATTGAATATAGGTCAAATTTTGATAAATAAAGTTATTTTTGTAAAATTACTATGCGTTTGTTAGTATACAATGTAAACCTAATATTATATTTTTGCTTTTTAAATAATTCTATTGTTTTATTTAAATTTAATGAAAAATTGTCTGTTCGACATTATATTATGTTTTTAATGTCAATATATTAAAATCAAATAATCGTTAAAAAAATATAGCCAAAAATATTAAACTAAACAGGGTTAAGGTTTCAATGAATTATGTTCACCCCCATTTTATCGTYTGATAATGAATTATTCATATTCTGATTGTTGTAACTTTTAAGTATACTTACTTTTTATTAATTGATTATTTGATATGCTTTAATAAAGTGTTGCCGCATCTAAATTAAAATTCGGACCAATATTTCTAAGTTATCATCATATTTATATTAATAAAATAATACAAATAGTACTTAAAAATGGATATACCTACATAAAAGTATAAAATATATGTAATTATTAATCAAGTACTTTTGATACTTGAGTATTATTTACAAATTATAAAATTTAAATAGATTATTATGAATTAGTTATGACTACAACTTTTCAAATCACCTATCATGGACTTATTATCATTAGTATACAAAGTCAAATAACTCAAAAACTACTTGTTAGAATTTTGATGTAAATACGTAAACATTTGTCAAGTCATCTCCTGAAAAAAAAAAAAACATTGGTTCTTATTTGAAAATAATAAGTTTGTATCATCACAGGACACGCCTTAAATGGTATAAGAAAATCAAAGCAGTCATTAATTTGGAGATTGCTTAAAAAATTTCCYAAATAAGAATTCGAATAAATTCATCATTATGAAAAAATAGGGTGGKGAGGGGGGTTTGAGAGCATGCTTGGAGAATCACTCAGTATAGGTATTTATTTGTTATCGTTAGGCGCTATAACTTTGAAACTAATCGTTTTCATGAATTTCTAACGAATGCGATTAATAACTTTTTAATAACCTACCTACCTATTATGGAATACATAATAATGTAAACGATTGTCTACTTCCGAGTATTTTATTACATTCTATTTTCAAATATTGTAAAATAAGTATTTTAAATTGTTCTTTTATTAATAAACTATTCGTGTCTATTTTGCGAAGGTAACATATTGTTTATTTACGTACTTATTTTTGTTATAACTATGCTAATACATCACACAGGGCACGAAAGTGAATCATGTCCTCGTGACTGTTTCGTAATAATGTGCGTTATTTAATAATAACCATAATATACTATCGTAGTCGGAATGGCACAAGTGAAAAGCTTTTGTTACGAACCGATCAAACCTTTGTTTGCCGTTGTACATGTATACATTATATTATTTAATGAGCATTCACAGTTTTGCGGAATCGTAAGTGTGCACAGCATTTCGAATGAGTATCCTGTTCGGGATTAGCTTTATTAAAACACACRCGTGTAAGCAGGATATCCGTCGGAATTTATTCTGCATTATGCACTCATTATGTTGTATGCGACATCATATTATATTTTATTGATGATAATTATATTATAATAGGTAAAATGACGACCACATTAATTTTTAATACTATGCATTGTCGTTTTCCAGCTGGACGGTCGGATGTTGGCKGGTCAAATGAAACGTGTCAGCGGCGGGGTCGGTAGAAACATTGCGGACGCTTTGGGCCGGTTCGGACACGATGTCTGTTTCTTGACCGCTGTCGGGGACGATTCCAACGGCCGCTCGATAATTAAATCGCTTGGCCACATAGTTAATATACATTATTATTATTATTATCATAATTTCGTCCATGCGCCGTAGTTGTCGTGTCTCTTGCTAGTTTCTATAATAGATTCTATTCTACATAACAAATGCCAA